CATGACAGTGCACACCTATAATCCCAGCACTCAGAGGGCTGAGGCAGGAGGATCATCATGAGTCTGAGTCCAGCATAGGCTACATAAATAGTTCAAGGGCAGCCTGCACTACATAGTGAGAGCCTGTCTCAAACAAAACAAAACAAAAAATAATAATAAATTAAGAATTAAACAAAGAACTCCTCATTGCAAATATTCTTCCTGTGCAAAAAAACCTTTAGACACCAAGGACTAATGGATCTAGAAAAAGGTGGCCTATTTGGTATTAGCTATCTACTCCTGTGTAATGAATCATCCCAAAACTTACTGACTCAAAATGTTTATTATCTCACAGCCTACCATCCCATGGATCAGAGATCTGAGCAGGGCTTGGGCTCCAGACCTCCCATCAGCTGCAGTTAAGATGTCAGCCCAGGATACAGTCATCTTAAGTCCAACTAGGGAAGGAGTCCCTTCTAGACTCACTCCTATAGTCATTGGCCAGACTCAGTTCCTGAATTGTGGACTGCGAGCTCAGCTCCTCCCTTGACCTCTGGCTGGTGGCCACATGCTGTTCCTTATCACGTACATCTCTCCAGGGGGTACCTCATGACATGCACCCAGCTTCATCTGCAGAGCAAACAACAAAAGCCATGCAAGGTGTCATAGGTTTTTATTATCTAATCTCAGAAGTGACTTCACATCGTTTTTGCCATATCCCACTGTTAGAAATAAATTACTAGGTCCAATCTATATTCAGGGCAAGGAAATATTTATACACAGGAAACCCAGGAGGTGGGGAACAATGGAAGACACTTTAGAAGCTGTTCATTTGTGAACTTTTCCTAATGTATCAGCTCATAAGACAATAATATACAGAAGGTCCTACAGGTAAACCAAATATCATCTCTACAAGTATCATCTCTACAAATATCATCTCTACCAAGTCTTTGTTGAAACCTTCTGTGCCAGGCAATGTGGTAAGATGCTAGAGATACAGTAATGGATAGTCTCATAGCTGATGAGGAAACCCAACACTTAAAAATAGTTTATTCTCTATTCTCATTCTTTCTTGACCCCTATCACTTTATTTTTCAAATAATCATTCAAATCTTTTGTTCCCCATGAATTGATGATATCTTTGAAGGGAGACATTATTTGTCATTTTTGTGGCTGTTTATATCTTGTACATAACAGATACCTCCAAAAAAGGGAATACTTTGAACTTGAAAGAAGAAAACATGGTCAATTTTCTATAAGTCATTTATACCTCAGTATAAATTGATGCCCCACTCTTATGAGAAAGAATCATTGATGAGAAAGAGGTCTTGGGAGCCAGATAAAAGTGATCCTAGGAGGAGCTGTACAAAGACACAGCTCATAATGTTTTTTAAAAAAGAGGGATTAAAGGTTAATGCCAGTTTTGTCAAACCATGACTTCACCACCCCCTATCTTCCCCTGATTTTCAAGCAGTGAGGAAGATTTACTGTATTGTGGTTCCAGGTGTTTTCTTCCTTGGATTATACATGTTCTTTAACACAGGCAGTAATTACATGCCACAATTTTGACACTGCCATAACTCCATTTCTCTCTCACATAATTGCATGAATGTGAACTCCCTATAATTACTATGTTTAATTAGAAAATGAGGAGACACAACTAATGAGGACAGGTGATAAAAACTGTGAACACTTCTTTCCGATTTACTTTTAGTATGAAGTTCACTCTGAATAAGCTCTAGTGCACCACAAAATTTTTTTAAAGAAATATCACTAGCACTCATTAAATGAATATATTACCAGAGCAATTCATATTTGTAGAAGATTTAGAATGAGAAAACACAATCTTCCCTATGACCTAAGCTTAATTGATGTTTTGGGTCAGTTTAATTTGGAGAGTAAATTGTAGATCACAAAGTTAATGCAAAATGTTTTCTAAAATGTTTAAATGTGCAACTCACACTTCAACAGATATTCTACCTGGAAGCCAAAATAAAAATAAGAAAAAAATACAGGGCTGCTCTAGAGAGACAAAGGTTTTAAGGTCTGAGTACTCTTTCCTTCCTTACAAAATCTTATAGACAGACAGGGAGAGGAATATACTGTTTTCAAACCACAAGTGTCTTCCAAGAAACATAGCTCTGGGAAAGGATGTAGGACTCCATGTGTAAGGTACAGATAGTCCTGGAGGCTGGGCTACAGGTGGGAATGGGGGCCAAAAAACTGAGTCATCCTGCTGACAGAATAAGAGTAGGAGTAAGCCAAGATGGGAAGCAGGGAAAAGCAGGCACCAGCTGGACTATTTTAGCAACTAGCAGAGTCCACAAAAGAAATCTTGCTGTCTCATTACTACTATGCACTATCAGTCCAGATGCCTGTACCATTTGCAGTGCAGTTTAACTTCCCAATGGCCTATGAAAGCCAAAGTTTGTGGGGTTTACACAAAAAGTGCCTGCTATTCACTCCAAGTGGGTCTGGTATCCCCAGAATATATGGAACTAAGGTGTGATCAGTGAGCTTTTTAATTTCATTGTTAAGATAATTCAAGGAAGTGGAAGGCAAGAAATGCTTAAAACATGGCCCTCTGCACATTAAGGCTGACATGTACTTGTTAAGTAAATAGACTTCATACACAGTCACCAAGCCAGGCCCAGATAAACTGGCCAAGCAGAGGCAGCAAAAGTCACAAGAATAAGTTCCAATGGTTATCAATAGCATTTTTCTCACTTTGTGAGTCCAAACTGATTTGGCTAAAGCCATGGATTTCGATCTCATTAATTAGCTACTGGAGTTTCTAGTCCATTCTCAGCTGGCTCTAAGGCAGACTGGTACATGGCAGAGGACAGCAGTTCATGGAGGCAGAAGGCAGCAAAACAACAAGAGCAAAAGGGAGGAATAGCAGCAACAATAGCTACAGAAAGCATCTCCCTTAAGTTGCGTTCGGACTATCCACCCCAGGCTGGGTGCAGTACTCACACCCATAATCCCAGCAGCACTCACATCCATAATCCCAGTGGATTGTGAGTTAATCACAAGCTCTAGAAGCCTGCCCCATAACTTACATGAGGCTTTGTGGGGACAACTAGACCCAAATCATAACAGTAGCCCAGTCTGACCTCAAACTAGAGCCAGTCCTACTGCCAGTCTCCTAAATATTGGGATTATATGAGTGATTACAGCATCATCATGATGATTTTTTAAATTTTCATGTTTGTTTCTATCTCTAAAGCATTCTCTATTACTAAGAATGCCAATTGGCTAACTTTGCCCTAAGCTTATCTCAATTCTTCCCAACTTGTGGAGGACCACCTGAGCAGCTCTCCTTGAAAGAAGAGCAATTGTCTCCATTTGGGCTGAGCCTGACCCTATTTCCTTGTATTGGTATATACAGAGCTGGCTAGGACTTCTCTTTATCCCTTCAATTGGCCTTAAGCAATGTATGTTGCTCTAGCGGAGGTGCTGGTGGTAGTCTCTGAGGACCGCATGCGTTGCGTGTTGCTCTGAAAATCCACACCCGTTACTCTTTGATATGAGTCAGGTCAAGACAGGATAAAGAGCCAGTGCTCCACACTGTCAGCTGGGATCAAGCCTTGAGGTATAGACTATGACTTCCTGGGTCTTGAAAGATTACACACCAAAGCTGAAACACTGGACCCCAAAACATTAGATACTATCTCAATATATAGTATAATGCAGATTACTTTTTCTGTATATTCTCTCTGCATATGACAGGTACATGTAAGTTACCTTCCTAGCTCAGTTCATAGTACTCACCTTCTTCCCACAATTCTCAGTCATTCATCCTCAAGCCACTCTTCCTTCACAACTGAATAAAACCTAGGTGTGACCCTGGGTCAGCCCTTTTGTTCTGGAAAGCCATCTTTGTGGCTAGACTTGGGACCCCTTGTCTCTCCACAATTATAAATATGCTTTAGTATTTTTACTTTTGCTGTGGGTTGCATTGGGTGTGGTAGATTGGTGGGATCCCAATAATGTATTTTTGGGATTATAAATATAGACTTATTGGACTGAGATGAGCATCAGGAGGGGCTTCCTTCCTACATCAACCCACTGGCAAATATTTATAGCTTACAAATTAGAAACAGAATATTTTAGTGCAAACATACCTCTATCAGTAGGAAAGAATTTAGGTTTATATAGTTTGCATAAAGGGGATAATAAATATTATTTCCACAAGTAAGGAACTATAGATGAATCCTGTGGTTGTACTTTCAAAATACTATAAATCCACAGTTTGACTGCTTTTTACTGCATTAGCTCAAGCATTATAGCAACAGTCTCCTAGCTGCCTCCCACATTCACCCTTTGCCTATAACTGTCTTCTCTCAAAACAGCATCCAGAGTGGCCTGCTTTAAAAAAAAAAAAAAAAATGGACCATGATCCACCCCTGCTCCAAACATGTATATGAGTTGGCATCCAATCAGGAAGACAGAAGCCCTACTGTAGATGTCTCAAACACAGGGACTATTTTGGAGGACTTGGGTGCAAAGATTAGTAACTGTAGAAGTCCTACTCACCCCAGGCTGTAGAAACAAAAGGGAAAATGGTGCAACACTGAGCCTGAAGTCAGAGCCACTAAGTCACACTGTGTTTTAATTATTTCTTTACATATATCTGTCCTCTACTAAAACTGTAAGATTCATGAGATACCAGAAAGTCAAAGGCTTTCTGGGTAATGGTACAGCAAACTAGCAGTATTGTCCTGAAACTCTATGTGTGGCCAAGTATTCCTGTTAAAAAGCAGCAAATACATAAGGGTCTCTTGACTTCACTTTGTGTGTGTGTGTGTGTGTGTGTGTGTGTGTGTGTGTGTGTGTGTAGGAAGGCAGAAGAGTCCATAGCAACAAGAAGAAAAAATGGAGGTAGGAGACCACTGCGTGCTGAAGCATAGATGGCCAGTAAGTGAGAGAGACACCAGGTACACTCTTCATGGCTTTGGAAAACATGTTCAGCCTCTTTATTAGAAGTATTTATATTGCCCCAAAAAATTACATTCCTGTATTATTTTAGCAGCTGACTATTAGAGAATAATAAACAAATATTGAAAAATCATTGAGTTATGAAATCAAAATCATTATCCTAGAAAAGCAACAAGCCTCAATAGGCAACAGCTTTTACAGTGCTATTCACAAGGGCATGGGAGATAACAGATTTTGCAATATTATTCTCAAGGGATATGGGAGTGGGTGTTAGAGATACAAAAGTTTATTAACAAAAGTGTTTTTTAAATTTTTCTGACCAACTTTGAGAGGAAAGAATCATCCTTACTAAGTGCATCCATAAACAGTAGAATTGTAACTGCTAAAAATCAGCATTGGTTAGTTTCTCTCTCAGAAGTTTCCAGTAGATACCTGTAACATATCTGCAGTCCTTTACAAAGAAATTGTGGCTAAATTATCATGCTTACAACAGATTTGTTTATTTGGTAATCATTCAGAGACTGGAAGAAGTCTCATCATACACACATACTCGAGCACCAAATTTATAAGTGCCTTTGACTTGGCTTGTAACCTCAACTGTTAGAGGCAGGCAACATTGTCTTAGCTCATCTTGACCTAAGGAACTGGTACTGTTCTCAGCCTGCATGGATGTTACCCAAGAGCAGCACTCAGAAGAGACTTGGAAGGAAGGAAGGGTCTGCTCAGCTTGCCTCTCTCCAGAATGAGCACACTGTTTTTGCTTGTTGTGGCCTGCCAGAGTATTCACCATTAGCTGTCCCTTCCCTCTTCTGCTTAATTAAAAATTCAATTTGACCAACGACAATTTCAGATGCACCATAAGTAACAGGAATTCAGTTCATCAGAAATCTTTTTATTCCTTTCTCTTTGAATAATTTTGCAAAATAACTCCCTACCAGAAAATGACTTTAACCTGCTGCCTGAAGTGTACATTTATTTGTTCACTGGTGCAAGGAGAAAACTCAGCTATATAAAATGAGATATATGCACACATTTCTGGGAAGATCATTTTAGAACCAGTCTCAAATCTGACTAATTAGAAAATGCCCCTGCTACTTAGACCTACATGGAGATGTTTCCAGCCTCATGAAATGTCATCCAATAACTGAGTTTTGCTAGCAGTGGAAGCAACTGCAATTGCATTGACTTCCTTGCTAAGAGAGCAGAGAGGAGGGGACAGTTTATTAGAAAAAATATTAGGAAGGGTGCAATAAAAGTGGACATGGAAGAACCACAGCTATTGATTGCAAATCTGACAAGGTTGCAGGCCATTTTCGTTGCAGGCAGGACACCTCAGGGCCCGGTAGGACTCCTTAAATCTGTTAGCCAGCATTGAGAACTTGCTGCCATGGCACAGAGAGCAGGTAGCACTGCCGGACCCTCGACAGTGGAAACAGTTGTCCTCAGGAAGCTCCCCATCCTGCAAAAGACAGGTCAGGGTTTAGCAGAGCAGTTGTTCAAGTCCAGTGTACCCACATAAGTCAACATAGCACTGCATGGCGGAAAAGTGTAGGAAAGAATCAGCGAACAATGCTTCCCCCTGAATGCCTGCAAGGACATTTGCTGAGACACAAAGTAATCACTGCTATTTTACCAGAGAGGATTTCTCTGATAAACATCGCTAAGATGACATCCTCTGCCAGCACATCTGGCATTCTGAGAAGTCACATTCTTCATCACCCTTGTTACCATTTGACATATTCTCTCTGTGAGTTCCATTAGGGGAAAAGACTTTATCTGCCCCACTGCCAGATACTAATAGTGAACTCTTGCAGCATGCCTGGTAGGTGCCAGCTTGTTCAAAGGCCTTCCGGGTATCAATCCATCTAATTCTCACAACATCCCAGGGAAATAGAATGAGTACTCTCACCCCTGTGCTATACTTGGGAAAATGAGGAACTGAGATGCTAATGGCTGATGCTAAATGCTCAGTGTGGAAGAGGAGAGAATAGATGTTGATCTCAGGGGACTGAGCACCAGTATTTACCCTCCTAACAACTATGTCCACAGTCCTCCTCACAGTCATCCTGCCCCATGCTCCAGAAAGAGTGTGCGACTTAAGAGACTAAGTAGATAATTAATTCACTAGTCTTCAAAACCTAGCTGGAATAAGTGCTTGCCTGAAAGTCCTGAGTTTGATCCCTGGTACCGCCAAAAAAAAAAAAAAAAAAAAAAGAAAGAAAAAGCTAGCTCTGAAATATGAAATATTTTATTCTCTTTGAGAACTCTGTAAAGCCCAGAGATCAAGACCTCTGTGCTCTGTGCTCTGGAGCCTCTGCGCTCTGGACTAGGACCAAGGCTATTGTCTGAGATCAGCTGCACAGTTTGGACAGTCCTCTTAGCCTCACCCAATCTGCAGCTCTACTTGTGAAATGGGAATGATAGTACTCTCACTTCTTAGAAGCTTCAAGATCAAGTTTAAGAAAATGCAATGTTCTCTGGCATATTGCATGTTCCCCATAAAATTCAGTTATGTTTTAACCCTTGCTGATAAATCTATAGTCCTTGACTCTCACTCTCCAGAAAACACTCTTTTCTATTGTCTTCCTTTTCCTGAAGACATCACAAGGAAACTGGCGATTTCATACTCCTTATAAACTGTGAGTCTCCATAAAGTAAGGGTGACACCAGATCAATACCAGGCACGTGCACTAACAGGACCTGTCCATTCCATCCACTAAACATCTTCTCAAGTCCATCCTTTTTCTCCATCCTTCACTCACAGTCCTAGCCCAGAAGCCCACCTAGTCTGGCCATGAATTCAGGGGGGAGCCCTACCTGTTGGGGCACCATCTTCTCCCACTGGTGCCAGTCTTATTAAGTGTCTACAGTTGTGGTTACAACATGGAAAGTACTCAGGAAAACTCTCAATGAACACTTGCCCTCTAGATGAAACCTTAGGATAAAACCCAGTCTCCTTAGCTGATTTAATTTTTTGTCACTTCTTCTATCAGGTTCTTGTCTTTGGGCCTCTCTGTACTTGGTCTCCAGGGACCCTTCCCAATCCCAGGCCAGCCAGCTCCTAGTAGTTAGCTGAGCACTTCTTCCTCCAGGCAGCCACACCTCCCCACCAGGAGCCCCACCCAGGGCCGTGCACTGCTTCCTAAGGACCCATCTCCTACTCTATCAAACTCACCCACTGGCTAGACAGAGTGCCTGGGGCTAGGACCTTTTCACCACTGCTTCCTGAATATCTAGTACAGTGCCCACTGCAATATTTGTTTTTCACAATGATGAGAAGAGAACCATTCCAGTTCTTAAATTCTAAGGGCAAGATAGGCGGGGGCCATTGGACATGTCCACTCAGCTAACACACCTTTGTTTTATAACCTAAGAATGAAAAAAATGTCTGAAAGGGAAAATGGAAGTTTCAAAAATGGCTCCATCATGTTGTTAAATGCTTAGGATGGTATTCAATTTAATTGACACTAGATTTTGGGAATGGAAGTGATTACTCAATGGGCAAGTAACTCATTATGTCTGTGTACTCATTTGTTAATATTTTACTGATTGTTGCCACATTTAATATAGTAAATTAACAATGGAGAAATTTCTTTCCTTATTATAAAAGTATCCATAATAAATGTGTTTGCCAAAATATTCTTCAAGAAAACTGCCATGATCCATTTTTCTGCTACATCAAGTATGTTTTATGTTTTGTGTTTGATTCCAGTGAGATATCAGTGATATAAACTGACATTGCCAAAGAAAGTACAATAAACACTGCCATCATGCCACACATGTAAGCCAAAAATTCATTTGCATAAAATGCCAGGTCAGATATTGTGGAATGACTTGGTGAACCTTATTGTAGAGAACAAAAACAAATTTCCTTTTTTTTTTTTTTTTTTTCACAGAACTGGGGATTTGACGCAGGCCCTTGCACTTGGTAGGCAAGCGCTTATTCTACTGAGATATCTCCCTGGCCCCAAATTTTCAATCAAATGACATCCAACGTGACATGGCTCTAGGGCATATTATCAGGGATTGCACTAGAGTTTCCATCCTCATCCTGGACTACCATTCTCTTAAATCACTTATCCTCATCATGCTCTTAATCATTTCATTAATTGAACAAGTATCCAAAGAACCCCTTTTACATAAAGCATAAAATATGTAAGACCCTCTCTTCCTTTCTCAGTGTTTTCAAAAAGTCTTCTCAGGAAATCTTTCATGGGAGAATATAAAATATAGCCACACAGCTAAGCTTAGGTTCTAGAATCTGACCAACCCATTCAATCCACCTCTTCCTGGCCTGATGGCCAAAGAGAGAGATATTAGCATTCCTCAGAGACTCAAAAGCTTATGCAGCCAGTCTGAAGACTGTAGAGCAGCACATGTGATCATGAGTTTGGCAAACAAAGGACATGTAGCCTGGAGCAAGTTACTGAACCTCTCTGAGCCTCAGTTTCCCCTGTCACAGACTGAGACTATTAGTAACACCTGCTTCTCGGGAGCCTTGTGAGAATGAAATGGGCTGTTACGTGAAATGCACTGGACGTGGTACCCAGCTACTGTGAGCTCTCAGTACATGGCAGCTGTTGTTATTATCACCACCATCAACATTATTACAGTTACCTGAGAGGTGAGATCACATAAAGCTTAACTAAGGACAAATGATTTATAGCCTCAGGTGCACTGAGCACAGAGCCAGATATTTTTCCCTTGCACATTTTACTGTGGCCCAATTCAATTATTCTTCTCTTTTTCTTCTCTAGTTGATGTAGAGGTTCAAGCATGGCCTGGCTTTCAGCCCTGCCCTGCTCTTTCATCAGGCTCTTGCCACTTCTCTGCTCTGTGTAACAGAACAAAGAGTCTCTCTGCCAGAAGGGGCTCCTTGACGTTCTTTGACCCTCTCCTTTGGAATAAAACTTGTAAGGCCATTTATTGCATGAGGATTGGGCAAACAAACAGTAATTTAAAACAGAGTTTAAAGGACAGACAAGTGAAGTATAACCTTTCACGGCAACCTTCTACTGCACAGTTCTGTCCTAGTTTACAGCTTTACCGCTAAAAAACGCAGATCCCTTCCAATTGAATTTAAAGGTAATTGTCATATCAGGCCTGCTGCTGCTTTTTCATTCAGGTGGGCAGTGTGACTTTCATTTTACCATTTGTGGCCCTCTTCTGAACATGTGTGCTCCCAGGGTTGCAATATGTGGGAGAAATGATGTAATTAAAGAATTTTAGGTGGGGAAATAATGCATCAGATCACAATGTTCATTTGTCTGCCTGCTGCCTTGTTAGCGTCTTAATAATTCTGCCTAGAAAATAATAGAGAACAATAGTAGAGTATTTCTTACCAGCTGGTACTTTGGTCCCAAATTCTAATATCTTTGCACAAATATTTAATGTTTACTGAGCATGCATTATATGCTGAGCTCTGTTTTTCTTGGCACTAGAGCTACAATTTTGCAAGCAATACAAGCATGGCCCCTGCCCTCATGGAAGCCCAGTCCTAAGGAATCAGATCAACCATTAACCAAATAACCACATAAATGAAAGATTACGACTGTGAGGAGATGGGCAGAGTCCTCTGACTGGCCCAGCCAAGTCAGGAAGTTATCCTCGTGGAAGCCAAGCAAGAGTTTTCTGAAAGAGTGAGGCCCCCACTTGGCATCCAGCACAGAAGGCAAAAGAGCCCAGCAGAGAACCTAAGAAAATGTCTAGGCAGAGGGGACTTTCTTTCATCAGAAAAAGAAAAAAACCTATGAGGGATTGATAGGTGGACAGTGTCTGGGGCAGAGATCATGAGGAGAAATGTGTGAGAGATAAGGCTGGAGAGGCCAGCAGAGCTTTCTAGAATAAACAAGGACTTCTGGCTTTATCTTGACAGTTAAGCTTCATTGTCTTGGGAGTGGCCTAGGAGATTAGTAAAGCACACTCTGGGTGTGTCTGGGTGGGAACAGAGGTGTGACTTTGTACTCTTATATGGTCCTTTGTACTCTTTATAAGGTCCCTTCCTCTTTGGCCTTGTTTCCCTGCTCTGCTTTTTGACCACAATGCACTAAGCAGCTTTCATCTGTGATGCCCTTTGGCCATGATATTCCTGACAAATGATCATGGATTCAATCTTTTGAAATCATGAGCCAAATAAACCTGTCATCCCTTAAGTGGTAAGGGTGCAAGGTATTTTTGTCCAGTAACAAAAGAAATGTCCAAGAAAGAGGATATGAAAAGCTGTGAGGGGTGAGAGGTGTAAGAAGTAGATGATGGAATCAGACTTTTGTGTCAAGACAACTTTATTAAGGGTAATACCAAGTTGGAAGGAAATGTGAGCAGATGGTAAACTAAACTTTAGGCATCTTTGGCTGGAGTCCAAGTGCCTTGTGCTGGGGTGCAGGGAGGGTGAAAAGAAAGGAGAGGAGAAGAAAGTGGATTCTAAAGAGGTTGTGCAAAGTAAGAGAAATGAGCTAAGAGAGAATCCTGGGTATCTTGGCCTAATGCCATCAGTCAAAGACCAACTCTAACCTCACGACCTTCCCAGGGGAGAGAGATCACTCATGTTCTAGAAAGCACCTTGCTAATTTTTCCATACCAACCCAAGGTGACAAGAGTGAGTCCAACATCATGTTTCAAATCCCAATGGATTGGATTTAGGAGACAGAAAATTCATTTCTCCTACTACCCAAGTTTTTTCCCCCTCTTAGTTTAAATTCATCAAAATTGGCTCTCTACCTCCAACTTAAACTGCAAACGAATAAATGCCAGCCTTCTTTTCCCCTGTCTTTTGTCTGAGCATGCCTAAGTGATGGTTTCCAAGGTGGCATATGCTAGAGGGAAAAAACTTTATAGCTATTTATATCTACTTTATCTAAAAATAGGCAAGAAAGTAAGCTCTACTAAGGTTTCTAAAGAAATTTTTATACCAATTTTTAATAACCTAGTTAACACGAACAGCTTCACTAAGTCAGCCAGCCCAGGGACCCCAGAGACACATGAAATTCATACAGATCGTTTGTTCACTTTCAGTATATTACAACACACTACAATTTACCTATGCCTGGACACATGCACAAATGATACTGCTTAATTTTAACTAAATAATCACCAAAATGGACATATGGCATCAACCGTGTCTTCAAGGAGGCTGTGCATTGAGGGTAATACCAATAATAGAAGCATAAGTGAACCCATAAGGACAAGACATAACTGACTTTCTTTCCACCTCTAGAACTTACTGTTCATAAGCCATGCTGTACAGTGAAAACAAGAAGCATCTAATGAGATCTGAAAAGCACTTAGCCAAAAAGATTATGAATATTTGAAGTATAGACTTAACTCTTGTTAATGGCATAAAAGGTATTAAAATTCCTTTACAAAAAAAAAGAAATAAAATAAAATTCCTTTACATCCATGGCATTTAAAGTATCTTATTTAAAAGCTTTTACTTAAATAGTTCACAACCAAAACAGTCTGGAGACCATTGTTGCAGGGCCTGCCCTACCAAGTTGGACAGGCCGGCACCCAGACGTACCTGTGTGTACCGACCAGGGGGGAGCGCGCCTTCTGCCTCCACCAAAGACCCATCATTCTGGTCTCTGTCTCCATAGCCTTCTTCCTTGCTCATCAGAGACTCTCCGTCAGCCTCCTCTCCCTTCTGGAGAATTTTCTTCATGAAGTCCCTCTTTTCCATTGGGGTTCGAATGATTTTCAGGTTATTTGTGTAAATGATTATCTTTCCAAAATCTATGATAGGGGGGGTCTAGAGAAACAGAGAATTAGCATGAAATCTTCTCCATCAATCACCATGCACAGGCTTGCAGGACCTATTCACACCCCAAGCAACAGGAGAAAAGAGGTTTCTGTCAGCCAATACTTGCAGTCCCATCAGACTCCGAAGCTACAGTTCATTGCATGGCTTGTTTATTCTTTCTAACAGCTATGAAAGCCAGATTCTTTCTTTGCTTTCATGCTAACAATCAAATCTCAACTACTCTGAGTGTAAGATTCCAGATGGCAAGGTCTAGAGCTTCCACATACCACAGCAATCAACACAGGGCTAGACATAATGAGTGCTTCATAAATGCAAAGAAGCTCTTTTGTATGAATATAACTCTCATCTTTTCTATGCATACATAATATTAGTAGACATCATTCATGGAGTACCAATTCTGTGTCAGATATCATGATAAGAATTTTACCAGCAGGAGCCAGGGAGATGGCTCAGTAGAATAAGTGCTTCCCTGGCAAGTGCAAGGGTCTGAGTTCAATCCCTGGTTCCACCAAAAAAAAAAAAAAAA